AAAAAAGAGGCATTGGATATACTCATCGCCAGACGCCGAGAGCGTCGTCGGCGAGTGATGTGTTGGCTGTATCAAATCCCGTCGAATACAGCGATGACACTGCTGGTCGGACGAGGGTCTCGAGGCTGTCTGCGGCGATGGAGTGCTCTGGTTATTGGCTTGGGCCAACTAGCCAGAGGTTCCAAAACCCCAGCTCCAGACGGCGCCGTCGGCGGCGAGGGCGAGGTTGTGGTTGCGTCCAGCCGACACAGCGACGACGCGCTGGCCAGCCAAGGCCTCGAGCTTCTTGGGCAGCAGCTGCTCCTCCTCGTCGCCGTGGCCCAGCTGGCCAGAGGCTCCAAAGCCCCAGCTCCAGACACTGCTGTCGGCCGTGAGGGCGAGGTTGTGAATACCTCCAGTCGACACAGTGACGGCGCGCTCGCCGCCCAGCGGGGAAGGGAGGCGTGTCAGCGTGTTGAGCCGCGTCACGCCCTCGCCGTGGCCGAGGAGACCTGGGACGTAATGCGGCGCCGAGCCGCACGACGAGAGCCGCCCCTCGCCGTCGATGAAGACGCTGTGCCGTTCGCCTGCCGCCGCCCTCGCCGGCGGGTTGGACTCGCGCAGCAACGCCGAGTAGCACAGCCACCGCACGGCGCAGCTCTCGCCCTCTGGCAGCGCCGGCAGCTCGAAGCCTTGCTCTTGCGCCCACAAGCGGATGCCCTCCGCCGCGAGCGAGGCGTAGAACAGCAGCGAGACGGCCGCGACGCGAGCGATGTCGGCGGGGTCGCAGCGGGAGATGACGCGCGCGAGAAGCTCAAGGGGCAGGTCGGTGAGGGGGCAGTGTGCGGCGGCGGCGGCGGCGGAAGCCAGGCGCCGGGAGCGACGCCGCAGAGACATCGCAAGAAGAATTCTGCCGGGACATAAAGTCCAAACATGTCAGGATACGCCGCGAGGAGGACGGAGTTGCGCCGACAGGCGAAAGAAGCCGCGAGAACAAGGGACCGGCAGGCGGCGGCGTCGCAGGACGAGGCAGAAGAGAACGACGCGACAGAGGAGGAAGTGACAAGGGAGAGAACGACGAGGGTGGGACGACCGCGAGGTGGCATGAAGGTTGCAGCGAGAATCGGCGAGAGACTGCGAAGAGAGATAGGAAGAGGCAGACTCCCTAGGGTGGGCGACGGATAGCGCACCACACACCTCTCCTTAAAATCCCTGTGTGGTGGCGGCGTGCCGTCCTCCCATCCCTCCCTTGGGTTGTCTGTTTTCTTTCTTTCTTTTATGTCACGATACACCCGAAGGGGACCCCAGCGCCAACATCATCGCTTCGGTGGAAGTACGAGTGTTCGAAGAGAGAGTGGACCTGAGCAACGATATGACTTGGCGGCAAATGATCGGAGTGGGCGTCAGAAGAGTCGTCCTTGCGCGAGGAGAGCTCGATAAACTCGAGGGGCCAAAATATGCCGCTAGCAGGGCAGAGCTGCGACGAAAGGCGGGAGAAGAAGCGAGAGTAAGGGATCGGCAGGCGGCGGCGGCGTCGCAGAACGAGGCAGAGGAGAGCGGACGCGACAGAGGAAGAAGCAACAAGAGAGAGAACGACCCGAGAGAATAAATAAATAAAACGGACACGCCAAAACGAGGGGTGGGAGAAGGACAGGGTCCCCACCTGCACGAGCAGGATCTTGTAAGGACGATCAGGGACACAGGGGAACGGGAGCGGGGAGCGCATCGCGACGTCCCTAGGGAAGCAGAGCTCTGCCTGTGGGGGGTGCTGGCATCTCTGCACAGACAGCTGTAAGTAGCATGCGTTCCAGTGGCGAGAATTTATGGTCGGCACCAAAATCAGTGGTCTCACCGGCGGGCCCTCCTACTGCCAGCCGGGCGGTGCGGGGCACGCCAGCCTCTCTTCTACGCCTCTCGTGCCTCGCGGCGCCTCTGCGTCAAGGAGGGAAGATACGGCTCTCGCAGCCCATCATACGCCGTGGCACAGCGGAGAGCACAGCGGGCTGTACAAGTCCATCGGATAGTGCTCAATATCTTCGCATGCTCGTCGTGCGCCCTTTTTTCTTTGTTTCGATCGTGACACGACGCCCTCGATTGTGTCAATGTTGAGCGACAGCTTCGCAGACCTGTGCATGAGCGAGCGCCACGTCGTGATCGACGCACTAAACTACCTGAGCACCTTCATGCCCGTCAACGAGCCCGGGTTTAAGGGCCGCACAGAGCCGTGGCCCCTTGTGCACGAGGCAGCGGTTCGCGTGCACGCCTTCGTTGACGGCTGCAGGAAGAGTGGCGTGACGCCGCATTTCGTGATTGACTGCGGCTTCGAGAGCGACGAGGCGCTTCAGACGTGGATGGGCCGCCGCGAGAAGGAGGTGCAGGAGCAAGAGCGCAACATGCCGTACAACGCCGACTGCATCCTCGCAGCCCTCCTGCTGCAGCGCGGGGCCGACGTGCTGCGCCCAGTCAATCTTGACGGCGACGATGTCGTCGTGCGCATGGCGGTTGAGCTGCATTGCGCTGTGGTCTCCAACGACACCGATATGATGCGCTACAAGGAGCTCAGCCACTCCAAGATCATGGTCGGATGGCTCTTCAAGCCTGACGGCCGGGTCGAGTTTGTGCGGCGGACCCACTTTGCCATGGCCAAGGGCAAGGAGGGTCTGCCCCCAAAGTCGATCGAGCATCTGCCCTTTGAACTCGAGCGCTGGCGTGCGGAGGCGGCCGACAACAAGTTCGTGGCCACGGTGGGCGAGGACGAGCACGTGTACCGCCGCGGCAACAGCGACTGTTTCACCAAGCTGCTCGGCAACCTGCACCACCTCGCCCAGCCGCTGCGGCGCGCCTTGTATGCAAAGATGGGCATCGTTCAGGTCAGCGAGATGTACCCCATCTGGGACGGCAAGCCAGGCTGGTACAAGACGACTGTGACCTCGGACGCGTCGCTTGCTGCCGTGCTCGAAGCTGGGGCATCGGGAGCGCTCGCATGGCTCGTGAAGGCCGAGGACCAGGCGGCCGACGCCAAGCTGCGGGGCATCGATCGCAAGTGGCGGTCGTTTTCTCGCGTGATGATGTCCGCTGAGCTGGTCTCCAGCGTGGGCGACGGCAACATCCTCAAGGCCCTCGTCCTAGCAGCAGGCATTGACCCCGACCCTGGCATCAACGTGGCCATCGTGCAGGAATGGGCCGCGGAAGCGCCGCAGAGCCGCTGGGCGCCGCCCGAGCATCTGCAGTACAAGAGCTGCTGCGACTGCTCGCAGCCAAATTACATGAACATGGGAGAGCTCGAGTTCTTCTGGGAGAAGGGGTACACCTTGCCGCGCCGGTGCAAGTCGTGCCGCGTCGCGCGCAAGAAGTGAGTCGTGGCACCGCTCGCGCTGGGTGCGTGGAAGGGGGGCGACGAGTGGAGTGAGAGAGTGAGGAGTGGAGCCAAATAAGGCCGGGCTCTCTCACTCGCCCTGAAGGTGGCTTCGTAAATAAAACGGACACGCCAAACGAGGGGTGGAAGAAGGACAGACAGGCTCCCCACCTGCACGAGCAGGATATTGGAAGGACGATCAGGCAACAGGGACACAGGGGAACGGGAGCGGGGAGCGCATCACCCGGTAGGACAGTTGTGCTCCCAGCTCGAGAGCGCCGCAGCAAGAGCAAGGCGACGAGATGGCGGCCCGTCGCAGCCTCTTTGCGTGCTGCTCCTGCAGCTCTCTCGCTGCTCTTCCTGGCCCGGCGCCGTGCCAGCTCTGTGGCCGCGCGGGGGATGTCAGGTACTGCGTAGCTCTTCCTTGTGGAGGCACGCGACGACTCCAGACGGACCCTAGTACGCTCCAATGTATCCTCACGGATGCTAGGAAGTGAAGCCCAGATAAAGTAGGTCTAGCTCGATCTCGTTGCCACCACGCTCTGAGAGCGCCAGTTTCTCGTTTATATGAAAATCCATTTGGAAAATTAGGTGCCCTGTAGGCTTGGCTGCAAAGGGGATTTCGCGTTTTGTTTTTTTGCTTACAAAACCGGGCGGCGTCTCGTGCTCGACCGAAAGACCGTCGTCAGTCGGCAGTCGCGAGAAAAATGGAAGACGACCTCGGCGACCTTGACTTCCCTGAACTCCCCGACCTCATGACCGACGTCGTGGGCAACCCCGAGGGCACCTCCGCTCACACCTCCGGGGATGATACCACGCTTATGGCTCGCACGGAGGCCAACTCACACGAGCAGCCGCTGGGCGATCCCATGCAAGCCAACTCTGAGACACTTGACGGGCAGCGCCTCAATCGCCTGCTGGCCAACCCGAGCAGTTTGAAACCAGTCGATGCTCAGTGGTTCCTGCGCCAGAAGGACTCACTCGTCTCGTCGGGACTCGTGAGCATCGAGGCATCCACGTGCGGCCGGCGGTCTTCTGCGGCCACGCCGAGATGACGTCGCGCGCGCAGGAGGCGGTGGCGAGGGCTTTTGATCTGGGCCAGATCAACGTCCTGGTCGCGACGAGCGTCGCAGAAGAGGGTCTCGACGTGCCAGACACTCGAGTCGCCATTATGCTGGACGGCATCACCTCTGGCCGCGTGCGTGTCCAGTGCCGCGGTCGCGTCATGCGCCGGCCCGGCGGAGCCTTCCACATCCTCTACTATACGGGCTCGGCCGAGGACGTGGGCGTCTGGCGCTCGCAGCAGCAGGTCGACGCCTCGCACAAGGCGCTCGAGGAGCTCGCCGCCGACCCGCAGGCGATCGCGAGCCTCAGTGTCGGCCCGAACCCGCTGGTGCAGCTCAACACCCTCAAGCAGAAGGGCATCGTGGAGGGTCCGCAGTTCGAAGGCACCGAGCACAGCGTCAACGGCATGTTCCATGTGACGGTCACGTTGACGCTGGTCAAGACCGGACGAGAAATTGTCGCGGCTGCAACCGACAAGAACAAGAGGAAGGCGAAAGCCGCCGCCGTGGAGAGAGCGGTGGCGACTCTCCTCGAGGGCCAGTCGGCAGAGCTTCGCTAAAGGCGCATGCCATCTAGTGCTGTGCGCATCGGAGGCCGGCTCGCTCGTGGCGGCGCGGCTCTATGCCCCCTTGGCCGGATGGCGCGCGCGGCGACGGCTACTCTTATCTGCTCTTTGCGGTGTGCAGGCGGTGTGACGCGCGTGTCTTCTGCCTAGGTGCCTTGGCCCCCTTGCTGTTTACGAGCGTCCGTGTCTTCTGCCTTGCCGTTTACGTGCGCGCTCGGTGTGCTTCTCTTTAGATAGGAAGCGTGCGCCGTGTTGGCAATGTCGTCTGTGTACGCATGTTCCTCTACTACTCCGTTTTCTTTTTATTTAGCAGAGCCGGAATTTTGTTTTTCACGTTCTCCGACCCCTGCGTGGTGTCCAGTCCGACGTCCGAGCCTGACTGTTCTTCACCTTGCTACCTAACCCAAAGGGTGTGGAGGTGAACCTTCTTTTGTACCAGGCTAGGATTGAGAGCAGCCTCGCTCTCAACCCTATAAGTCGAAGGATTGTGAGCAGCACTCCTCGCAGTCGTAGCATCTCTGTGCGATTGTGAGCGCCTACGCTCGCAATCCTACATCTTCTAGGACTAAGAGCAGCTCCGCTCACAATGTGACTGGTGACGCCTACGACTACTACCAGCGCGCTCGCAATCCGAGCAAAGTCTAGGATTGCGAGCAGCACTGCTCACAATCGAGACATGTTGCATGCAGGTTGCAGTCTGTATAGAGAGAAACTGCACCATACAGACCCTCTCTGCACACTCAGTGCACTTGCCGCTCTCCCGGCATGCTAGCTCATTCGCCGTCTCAAGTGGCGAACAATGGACAACCCTCAGGGTGCCGCAGACCTCCTTTCCAAAGCCTCCGAAAGATAGTCTCGAAATCGAACAATCAATCACACACACCCCACTCTCCTCTCGCACGGCGACTCGGATTTCGGCGGAAAATTCTCTCTGTGGGGCACACAGGCTGCGAGCGTGTGGCGACGAGGAGGTTGGAACACGCGGCAATGCCCGAGACGTGACTCTCGAGACAGACGGCTTTATCAACGCGGATGGAGGCCCAGTCAGCAGGCTGCAGCTCGAGGCAACTGCACATAGAACAGACATCAAGCCTGAGCTAAACCAGCCAGGCGTGATTGATTGAGCTAAAGCCTAAACCAGGCACGATCGTCGGTGGGACTACGTCGCGCGATCGCCACAAACTCCCATAAAAACGAAAAAAATGCGCTCCGCGAGACCTCGATAGAGTAGTGCTGAAGGCGCTCTTTTTGATTGAAAATAGCACGAAACAAAAAAAACGACTTCGATCAGCGTCCCCCCAGAATCCGCCTCAAATCGTCAAGGCAACCACGCACTTTCCTCGTCCGCTCGCGCTTGCCGCGCCGCATTGCGCCCGACTATGCCGCCGCGAGCTGCACACCTAGACCCCCGCGACGCCTATTGCTCACGGAACCCGCCTCCCCCTCACCACCCCTACCATGCGATGCGCCCTCGCTCGCGGCGCGAGCGGCTGCACCCCCCTCGGCCTCGCACCGCCTGCCTACTCCCGCTCGCAGGTACAGCCGCTGCCATGGAGGGCCCTGCACTTACCCTCCGCTCGCCCTGCCCTCCCGCATCGCGCGCCGAAACCCGCTGCGAGCTGCACGTCTTGACCGCCGCACGCAGTTGCTCACCCGCCGCGCCCGCACCACTCCCAGGCGGCGGGCGATGCGCTTCACTCACTCGCATGTACCCCCCTCGCACCGCCTGCCACCTCCCGCTCGCAGGGCCGACCGCCTCCCCGACTCCGCAGAAGCGATGTTGCCTCTTGCAATCGCACTTCTTATCCTCTCCGCCAGTGTCGCCGACGCGTTTAGTTCCGTGCCCGAATTCCCTCCGCCGCCAGCGCCACCAGTGTACGTCATCATGGGTCCCGACAGTGTGCCAATCGCACGCGCCATCGTGGACGCAACGGAAGCTTGCCCCGTGCTGATGGCTGATGGGAAGATGATGATCGTCACCACGCATGCAGAGCCTGACCCTGATCACGGCTTTCCTGAACGCGTCTGCTCTGGAGATCTGCCGAAAAACTACAGCTTCGCCTCTTTCGGGCCGACAGATTTGCCCTCCGTTGAGTCGGGCCCAGTCAATTTTGGGATCATCGGGGACACAGGCTTGCGAGTCAAGGTGAAAAACAATGGCACCCTCCCTTGCCCCGCCAACCTCTCCGAGAGCATTGTCGAGTACCCCGGGAGCGCTGGAGTCTGCTTTGATTATGGAAAATGGAACGGGAAGATCCAGGGAATGGAACAATCGCTCAATCCGGTCTCGAACCCGTGGCCATACCAGCTGATGGCGGACGAGCTCGCTGGAAAGAACCCTGACGTCATCATCCACGTGGGAGACTTCTTGTACGGCGAAACCGAGTGCCCGGACGTGTGCCCCGTTGACGAGGAAGACGCGACCAAGGGATTCCTGGACCCATGCCCATGCGCGAACATGACGAGCCACGGGGATCAGTGGAGCAGTTGGCAAGAGGACTTCTTCGAACCTTCGAGGAAGCTCTTGCTCGCAGCGCCATGGATCATACTCCGCGGCAACCACGAGATCTGCACGAGGTCGGGGGTTGGATGGTTCCGGTATCTGGACCCGCGTCCGATGCCTCCCCTCCAGGAATGGAAGTGGCAAGGGGCGAAACAATACGTCCCATGCAGTGAGTTCACCGATCCATACGTCGTCACCTATCACGATGTTCAGTGGCTTGTCGTCGACAGCAGCCAGGTCGCTTCTGTCGGTGGCGGCATCGACCATTACGATGGGGATTGTCCGACCGAGGTCACGGTGATCACAGGTCTCGACCCCCGCAACGAAAGTGCGTTTCCCTACACGCCGAATTCGTCGCACGGCTTTGACCCGTCCAATTTCCCCGCGGAGTACGGCAACTATACTGAGATCTTTGCAGAGGGCAAGTCAATGCTAGACAGCCACAAACCCGTGGGGCTGCTTTCGCACCGCCCCCTGTACGCCATCACGTGCCACAAGGGCAGCTACCTCGCGCTCGACTACACTCTCCAACTGGCTGCCGAAGCGACCGGTCTCTTCAACTCCACGATCAAGTTTGTCCTATCTGGGCATTACCACCTCTTCCAATACGTTGAGTACGAAGGCCGCGTCCCCACCCTCGTCTTCGGGCACGGAGGGACCAAGCTCTTTGACGGCGATCCGAACATTGCGACGGCTGTGGGGGCCACGGTCCTCACGGAGGACGGCGCGCCGGCAGCAGTAATTACTGCAAACTCGACGATGTACAAGCAGTTTGGGTTCGGTCTGCTTGAAGTGAAGGAGGAGCGCTTTGAGGTGACCGAGGGTGCTGGCGCAGCCTGGCAACGCTTCAATTTCACGATTCCAGCCTAGGCTTGGAGTCAATGCGATGGCCGTTTGCTGCTGGGCTTGCTAACCGGGGAGTCTGCTCTCTGCTTGCGCTCACTCGGGTGTCTGCTCAGTGATAGAGCCATGTGATGGCGTCATGTAGACCGATCGACTGACCATCCTTGCATGCGCGGGGTCCCTGGCGGCCAGTTGTCAAGGATACTCTTGTGGCTTTAGCGGCAACTTCTCTGTTCTGTTCTGTTCCTTTGTCCCATGTTCGTGGGTGCTTGCAAACTTGTGGGGCCCTGAGGGAGGATGTGTAGAGGATGTGTAAACTGTAGAGCGCTGAGAGCTGTAGACAAGATAGGATGTTCGAGCGCTGGAGTGTGGAGAGCGCTGTAGAGCTGTACGGTAGAGCTCGTCTAAACTAACGTATACGCATCCGGCGCGCGGTGGACGGGGACTGGCTAGTTCCATTTCACTCTGACACGCTAATCTTGAAAACGTCCAACGGAGCTCCGTGTTGCTCCCAGCGCCCTCCCCCGCGCTTCCTGCGACCCTAGCCGATGGTACTAGCATGGGAGGTCATCTGGCTACCGCGAGAGCGACCCAACTCGTCGACATCGTCCGATGATGGTGCCGCAAAGTCAGCCTTCGGAGGCTATCGTGGGGTCGAGCCGTCAGTAGCCGTGACATGTGGTTCCACCACCCCTCGTAGGCTTTGCCTCTGACCATCACCGTTCCCAGGCTGCCTAATGGGATGGAAAGGAAGGCTGGGCGAGCGTATAGAAGCGTGCTCGACCTCGTCGTGGCAACCTGTACGGCAGCGCTGGCAGGCGCGATGAGCGTCGTGCCACCTGACCCGAGACGGGTCGCAGGCGTCGTACCGGCGCGTCGAGACCGTGTCCTGATGTGATCTGTACGGGCGAGTCACGTCGGCGTCAAAGGAGCGACGTGTGACCTGTCAGAGCTTGATCTCCGATCTCAGCGGCGTCGAGTCGTCTCCGGTGCGCAACAAATGTACCTCCCCAGGAC